ATACAAGAGTAAAAATATAAAGTGTATAAGAAGTCATACTAACACCAGTGCCTAATAGAGACTAAAATAGAAAAGTAATACTGAGCATGATATTGAGAGTGATATTGTCAGTGATATTGAAAAGAAGTAAAAAATGATATTGCACGTAGTATAATAAAAGTAATATTGCACGATGAAATTGAAATGTAATATTGCACAATGTCGAAAGAAGTAATAATGCAGATGAGGTGGAAATTGTTTTTGTAAGTGTCCGATGATTTAGCTGTCATTCCTGCAGGAGGTGGAGGAGTTGCATAGTTTGATGGCCACAGGAAGAAAAGAATTCCTGCGGAGTTCTGTGGTGCACCTCGGTGATCTCAGTCTACGTCTGGAGGTGCTCTGAAATGACTTCAGTGTGGTATGCAGGGGATGAGAGGCATTGTCCAGAATACAGAGTATTTTCCTCAGCATCCTCCTCTCTGACACCTCCACCAAAGACTCCAGTTCCACTCCCAGGACAGAACCAGCTTTCCTGATGAGCTCATTGAGTCTATTGGCATCAGCTGCACCAGCACACTCCAGTGTAGAAGATCCTTTAAGCACAACTAAAAAAATTACATTCACCACAATTATTCTGGGATTTTTCAAAGGAATCGCTGATTAAAATAAACTTGGAATGAAATAAATTGAAACCATCTGCATGGCTTGACATCACTATAGGTGCATTTTTGTTGAATTTAAGATCAGTCTATTCAAACCAACCAACCTAAATAATCAGCTGTTTTGTGAATGACCCTCACACACTCTATAATGTTCATGAAGAATTAAATCATTTCATGCACATCATTCGTTATTCATGTGGTTACTGTGACCAAAACGTATAGTGAAAACAAAAACCCTCTGACCTGTGAATGGCTATGATGATGATGTACGCACACACAGTCATGTTTTCATGACTTTTTGGGACATTACAAGGATTTACATTGATTTCCTCTAGACTTACCCTAATCATAACTGCTTCGAGTCCAATCCTTATCCCTACCCTAACCTTTAACCAAGTCTTCACCCGAATATGCTATTTAATTGGCACGTGCAATTGTCCCCATTTTGTGCCAAAAACAAGGTGAGTCCCCACAATGTAACTGCGGGATCAGATGTATGTCCCCACAAGAGAGGTAAAACAGACATAAACACACACACTTCTCCTAACAAGGACACACACACATATCAGAAATCCCACACAAAGACATGAAACCCCAGCTCATCTTTTTGTCATATTTGTAGGAGTTACTTTTAAAGCAGGGGCAATATCAGCACCAGTGACATAAGTGATACTCAGACACAGTTAAATCATTAAAGAAAGACTTACAGGGATGACCAAGAGTCCTGTGCTAGTCATGGACTGACAGGTGTCAGGAGACCATGTGTCTGCATGGCTGTTTAAAATGTGATCTGCAAGACAGAGCTTGACTCAAACAAACAAAAATAACTTGACTCACATGACTTGTCATCCAATTGAATCAGGTCTTTCACTAAAGGGTGATCTCTAAGTACCATTAACCGTGACCTAATTAATTAAGTATGTTTCGGGTAACGTTAGTGAGCGGGGGAATTGCTATCACATGGTCATGCACCTCCAGCCCTGTGTCCACAAGGGTGGGATCTAATAGTCATAAGGGCGGCCCCTTAAAAGGCTTCACAGTGAGGGTCTGAACACTCTAGAAGACTCCACCTCCAGCTACAACCACGATGAGCTTCAGATCCCTCCTCATTGCTTTAGCTTTACTAGCTGCCGCCTCAGCCATAGACCAGTCAACATGCAACTTAATATGGTGAAGTATTGTGAAGATATATATTGTTGTTGTTTTTAGTAAAATAAGAAAGAGAACATGGTTGTAATGTGTGACTCTTTCCTTGCAGGTTTTTTCCGTTGCCCTGCACTGAACCTGTCAGTGCTCTGGTGAGCCAGGTGAAGGCTTGGAGCACAAAGGAGTGCCATGGCAGCCAAGAGGAATGCATGTATGAGGTAATTACAGCATCTTGGCATTTTTTTCAATGACCAGCTGAAATTGTATGGAGTAGAAGAATTGTACCATTACTGTGTCAACTTCATTTCTCAAGTAAAAAATATTAGAAATACTTTTATTTAATGAAATAATCAGTTGCGGAATTATTTCTTTTTTTGCCATTTTTTTGTCATTCATCTTAACATGTTTGTGTGTTTTTGTCTTTTAGATAATAAAGGAGTCCTCCACATACCTTGAAATCAGGCATACATCTCTCAGCACCCACAAAACTACTGAAATGGCTTTTGAGTTTACCCCTCCTGCAGGCCCCTCCTTCTGCAAAGTGAGGGTAAGTTTGCTCCGTCAAAGACCACCATATGTGCATCTTACATTCAGATGTCTCTTTAACATCTCTTGACATTTCTTTTGTTTGTTCTTGCACAGGCCCGGTCCACAACAATGTCTCAGAATGCCGACAGGCCAAATGAGTACTGCCTACTCCACAATTTAATACACGGTATGCATTTTCTCTACGTTCTTACAGCAGTGTTTCAGAGAAAGGTCTAAAGTGATATTCTGGGTTGCCTAATGTGTGTTTGTGCACTTTTCTGTCTGTTTGTTCAAAAAAAAGGAAGTGGACTGGAAGGCTACAATGAGATCTCCAATGAGGCAATGTGCCCCTCAAAGAAATCAGCAACATGCAACAATGAAGAATAGGTACTACACGCTGACTTTTCCATTATGAAAGTATGTCAAGGATTTATGTGTAGTTTCCTTTTTAACACATATTTCAAGTCTTTCTAAGATCAAAAACTATAAAAATTGATTGAAACTAATTATTTGCGCTGCTTGGTTTGTGTGCCAATGCTAATGGCAATATGTCTTCCTTCCTGTAAATTTAACTTTTTTTGTGCTGAACTATAATAACACTTTATTGTCAATTGTTCTCTGCTTTGCTCAGTGCAAATAGGGTTAGATATACATTGTGAAAGAATTAATCCAAGCTTCCTGAATAAATACTTTTAAATACTGTTGCATCTTTGTTGTCACTTTGTTGGAGAAGATTACTTGAGGTGATAAAACTTGTTTGTGTGTGAGAGCACGATACGAGGAGACACTCATTATGCACTTGTTTTATTTACAACACATGAATGACTTAAAAACAAAATTCTTCCAAGCAGACAATATACACTCTGTCTTTATGTACACATTATGCAATATGTTAACTTCTCATACACTATGCCTTGATAGTATTTACTGCACGTATCTGTGTGGATAAGATCTTGACTGCAATGATTGCAAAATGTTCCGCCGTCCCCTCACCCTTGTCTCTCTGGTGTATCGACTGTAGTCTAATTGGCTGCATCTACATCCTTTAACGACACTCCAATTTAGCCTTAATGCTTAGCAGCGTGTGACAAGGCAGACAAAAAAAGCTTTGAAGAGTCTGGAGATAAAGAGGGACAGGTCAGAGCACTGAGACTCCCTGCTTACACTCAGGTTAAACCAGTGATATAAGTGTTTAAAAAAGAGCAATTTAAACATGTAACCTTTTCAAGTTTTTGATTTACCTCTCAAAGATGGAAAAGCATTCACTCCAGATGAATTGTTTGCTGTTGAGCCAGTAACAAAAGGAGGAGGATTGCTTGTAGTGGTATGACTAAAAAAAAACCCCATTGCATTTCAAACCCACTTTAATTCACTCTTGCTGGAGCCATCGGACCCTGATCACAAACACACAAAATGATAAGACATCACACACAACACTGAGCCAAAGGTTTTTGCTTCCACCTTAAATTACAGTAGCCGTGGATGGACTGATGTTCCTGCCTTTAAAATGTGAACATTTTCCTTCATGAGTTTGATGTTCGCCTGGAGCTTGGAACAGAGAGGACAGGTTGGAAGCTGTTCATTTCACATGGTTTATAAAAGTTTGGATCTGTCGGATGCATCCAACAGAAACCTGCAGTGCTGATCACTCAATTCATTTAACCACAATGCAAGAGACTGAATAGTACAAGAGTGTACGAATGATCCATGACAGAATGACATCTTAGTTTAACAACGGCATGCATTGCCCTTCGATTTTAAGTTTGTATCCCTTATGAATGAGGACATAATAAAAGCACATCTAACCAAGTTTCAACCCATCAATCATGGTCCAAACCATTTATCATTGTCTAGATAAAATTCAAAGATTATAGACATTTTAAATTCACTTAATTCCTTCTGCGATATGTCATAAAATGGCATTGCCTTGATATCTTGATATTAATGGAAGATTATGTCAGATATCCTGTACAGTTGATGTTGAGAACTATTTCATCAAGTAAAAGAATAACAAAATCAAGGAGCACAAGTTTATATATATATATATCTATATATATATATAGATATATATATATATATCTACTGTATGTATGCATATATATATATATATATATATATATAAATATAATTTAAATCACATCATGAATGCTCACAGACGCTGAGAAACGCTACACCAATACAACCACATGTTTACATGTTTGGCAGCAATCAAAGGCAATTGGGAGACAATATATTTCATTGGGGATCCAAGCTGTGTGTTGCATTTATCATACAATGCATGGGGCCAGAGAAAGCTCCTGATCAGTTTAGCGCCATCTCACCACAGAGAGTCTTTGTGATGCTTTATATCATTTAATTGTTTCTCATAGTCAGCGAATTAAACTCTTTGAAACAAATCATGGTTAGTGTTTTATGTCATAGATGTATACCAGATCATAGTTTATGGTATATATTTGAAATATTTGTCATCAGACTTTGTTGAGCTAGTTTTGGTTTTTTTATACGCCCGTTAATTCCAACGTTAGTAGTTCTATAAACATGTATTAGTAATTTGTTAGTGTCACATAAGTGTAGGTTTTGAATAATGGATCATTACAATTACACTTCAGAAAACAACCTGGTTCCATTATTGAACCGGTTTACATTTTTTCTTGACATCCAGAATTCAGACAATAAGTTTCTTTATTTCAGCGGATTAGTTCCTGTTAGTGTTTCGACGTGTGTCGTCTTCTATACAATCGTATCACTTTGCATTTCCTCAAAAACTATTTGTAATAACTAAGTGAGAAGATGGGCAAGAAGCGCTGGCCACTGAAACAAGGCTGACGTGTCTGTGGTAACTAGAGATGCGGTAATGATGACTTTTTAATCAGAAATAATGTGTGCATCTCATTTTTAAAAAGGGTACATGTCGTTTTTTTGCCCTGTTTTGCCTTTATCCCGCTACCTTCATGTCCCTTTCCATGTGAAATATCATGTAAACTTACAAGCATTGTAAAAAAGTTGAATATAAAAAAAAGTGTTTAAAATGCATGGACTGACACTGTTTGGAGTATTATTGTCCAAACTTGGCAGGAAAAAAAGGGAAGCAGGATGTAAGCAGTTCAATAACTGATATTACACTACAGTACAGTACAGTACATATATAGTGTGGGTAATTACTGTCTTTTTCACACACACACACACACACACACACACACACACACACACACACACACACACACACACACACAACTAACCTTCCCTTTCTCTCTCACACCCTCCGGCGAGGCAGTAAATGAAAGCTGATAGCCTGCTTACCATTTAGCACTGCTTAACACATTTAACAAGAGCAATGCACCCATTGTGGATAAAACTGTCCTACTGGTTTTGAAGTTGCATTACGGGCAGTAATGAATGAATTCACACACACTTTTGTTTTCCTGCTGTGTCACTCAGTAATCAGCTTCCACATCAGAGAACACAGAGAGAAAGAGAAGGGAGTTTAAGCAATCTGTGATTAAGGCAGTCACATAAATATTGCAGAGAGGTTTTTGGCCCCCGTTTTGGAGATACACTGCCACAACAGTCTTGAGCTCCTAGCGCTTACTAACGACTGCTTCCTCTTCCCACAGATTATAGAGCAGACGGGCGTATGTGAATACCGATGGCAAAAGAAAATCTGAGTATGATGCCACAATGTTCATCAATGGAGGAAAAACATCCCGTTAAAAACAACATCGAGCAGTAATCCTCTTTGGAAGAAAAGGTCATATTTGGTTTGTGTATCAGTCCTCCACACAATGAATGAATCTTTTACAGGGACAGCGGGGAAAAAAAAGCACAGCTCAGAGCGATTTAATTAAGAAATGAAAGTAAAGTAGAAGCCTATATCTAATTTTGTCCACTGAAGTTAGTGCTAGGGGCTTTTTAAGCGGCGTGCAGGGATGAGGAAAGACAGAGGTCCCACTTACAGTAGCTGAACTCTGTCTCACGTAATTGAGTTCATTCCAAGATACAGAAAAAAGTCAAAGCAGATACATACATATTAGTTGGACACAGGAGAGGTGGCTCCCTTAATGTCTTCAGTTGAGTTCTGCTCATCATTTCAGTTCAAGCTGTTTTAAAATCTGCCAACATGGCAATCCTTATGTACTGTACCCTTTACAGTGCTTCCAATACTGTACTTAGGGCTTCAAGTAATGACTAGACGTCTGTCAGAGCTTCACACCCCCCCTGTATTCAGTGCGATAACTGTCGCTCAGACCCACTCCTGCATGGAGCGCTTGCAGTACAGTATGTGGCGCTGTGTGCTCTTCCTCCTGAACTGGAAAACGGTGTAGAGGAGGACCATCATGCACAGTGCCAGGACACAGGGAATAGCGATGGCCACTGCTTTCTCCGTGCCCCCCGTGCTGTCCAATTTGATGACAACGTCCACGTCACCGTTGTCGTAGTGGCGTTCCTCTGCCACCGGGGTGTTCCAGTCCCAGTCGGGATCGGCAGGTAGACCGTCACAGCCCATGAAGTCCCTCAGGATGGACCTCGGGTAGCCGGGCTCTACACGAAGCAGCTGGTTGTTGAACTTCCAGTACTCCTTTCCCTTGTAAAAGTAGGTGAAGCCTGGAGCAGAGTACATAAAAAAATACACTTAGGTACATTAATCTGGCAAAGAGCAAGTATTGTGCAGCTGCATGTACCACTAAAGTACCCAAATCTTAAGCTCTAGCAGCCCCCTGTCCCTCTGTAAAAATGCCTAATAAAATAAAACCCAAAATGAATCAGGAATATCTCCTCGACCATAAGACTTATATGCATATATCTGGTCTTCTTTGAGATATAAGAAGCAAAGGAATATTAATCCATCGTAAGTAAACTACATTTAGCAAATATAGATGCAATAAACGAAAACAATTATATTTTTTAATCCTCGCCTGGTATACAATCTAAATTTCAGAGGTAAAAATAAAGATCCCATAGACAATGATGCAAGTGAATGTCTTCTGCTACTCTTAGATTTCAACTTTAAATGTTACGAAAATACACAAAAACACAACATTTTTGATACAATCAATAAAGATATGCTCAGGTGGTCTCAGTGTTGATCAATATTCATATGGCTGAAGAGCTCCATGCTATACGGGCATATCAATGGAGAAGGCAAAGGCCCTTGTGGTCTATGTGGTATCCACAGATTTATACCAATGAGATGAAAAGAATGATGTATAGATTGTTAGTGCTTGTTGCCATCTGGTGGCGGTATCAAAGTACTAAGAGCTAGAGGTCGGCTGAAAAATGATCCCAGATCTTTTGAAGTTGTTCTTGAGTTACAAAATGTCTGTCTAGGACTTCATTGTTAGAATACTTCATAATAAGACTTAGTTTGGACAACACAATTGGCTGACTGATTGTGAAAGCTGAAGACCTCATGTTTTCGAAACAGTATAACATTTATATGTCATATAAATAGATGATTATCAAATAGCGATATTTCATATCAATGTCATGGAGGAGGTTGTTTTCAGGGGGTCAATATCTAGGAAAAAAAAGATTCATTATCCCCTCTGTGCTTTTGGATGAACTTCCTGTTTTCCTGTCGTGTTGTTGCACAAAGTGAAACGGTAGCAACACATACCAGACAAACAGTATTTTAAGGTGTTGCCCTTCATCTTTTCTAAATGTCTTAAAAACAATAGATATGCGATGCCAGGGTGTTCAATCTCACTGACTAGTTACATGGTCCATAAAGCTGACGTACCATTGGCCTTGTCCACAAAGGCCCCCTGTGGAGAGTCAGGGATGCCTTTCCAGATGGTGATGGGTTTGGGATAACCTGGATCCATGGTTCTCATGTCCTCATTGTACCTCCAGTACCTACAACAGGACAAACAGAAATACAGTATGCAAACAGTCAGTGACATGTACCCCTTGCTCGACACCTGCCCCTACAGTAACAGCTGATCTGGGTCAATTTTAAGTAGGAGGAAATCATGCTACTATTGTTGTGAGCATTCACAAATCCACAAACGCTAATTAGCACAGCGTGATGAGAGTTAAATCAATCTAACAACTGGACCCATTCACCAAATCCATCAATGCTAAACAACAAGGAGCTCAAACTAGGGCTGACAGACAAAATCAAATATAGTCCAATCATACACATGAGAAAGGCTTTTCCACTCTTGAATCCAGGCTTTTTAAAGAAGTAGTGCCAGGTGCACATGCAGCCAAGATAAACAGTCCCATCTCATGCTAGAAAATGGCCCCGCACTGACAAAAGAGGCAGATGCTAAGAGAATCCATTACCAACACGTTCAGATGGTGAATTGACAACTTACAGAACACGTAATTTTAAAGATTTAAATAGCTGTATTGCATACAATCAAAACACATTGTATTAAAACGTGTATCGTGGCACAGCACTGGACTTCTGCGCACTGTGTCAGTGACAGACTTTTTTAGAAAAAGAACTCAATCTGACCATTTAAAGATCTGCAACTGACTGGATTCACATGACCAGCGAAAGCGGACAATCAATCATCCATACTGTGTTTATCTGCCTGGTGAATTAGTTGCAGGGGTTGTTGTGATTGATCTACTTCTCATGCACTGGCACCCACACACATAAATCTTGCTACACAGTGTCATGTCTTTGAATTAGAACAAACAGCACCCTGTTACAGAGAGAGAGAGAGAGATGAAATCATGTTCGAGACGACGGACAGAACGTCCTGTTTGTCGTGATGTGCAGCAGCAGGTTGAGGGATGACAGTATCATGACAAAGCATTTTGTCAGCTTTTACCATGGGTCCTCTGACCTCTTGGGATGTGAGTTATCATGACAGCTGAACAAACACGTGAGTCACACTGGCATACTCTCAAAATGTAAAACCCTCGCAACATAGATAAACAACACATTCTCAGAGTTGGTTGTTTTGTAAAGACTTCAATTTGCCTTACAACTGCAGGTAACTAACTACACCAACAAATATATCAATGGATGTATGCAAGCAGACCAAATACTTATACAAACTATATAAACCATATATATAAATACTTTACAGGGAAAAAAGGCTTAAATGCTGAAATAACATAATCCCCATCACAAATGTTGCTCTAACGTTGGGTAATAATGGGTTGAATGTCAATAAGCAGCATTCTTCAGCTGTTAAATAGACAATCAGCATTTTCATAGCAACGTGTGACAGCTTACAGAAATGCCAGCTCGTCTATGCTAAAATTAAAGATGCACTGATCAACAAACCGGCAAAATTATTAAAAATGTAATGGGACACAGTACCAAAAATCATTAAAGTTGAAAGACTGCATTCATAAAGGAAAACAGAAGGGAAGGAGCTGACAAATACTTAATATTTTCTTCTTTTGTCTGTAGGATTAACTCCTCAACGCACTGCATTATAGTTGTTTATACCATTTGGTAACACAGAGACAATTTATGGTCATAAACAAGAGACTTAAATAAAGATTTCAGCCATCAATGGTCCTCACAGTATTTTCTTTTCCCTGACAGACTCCAGTTCTGCCCAACTACTTAACTTCATAACGGTGCCAGTAATAATTCAACACGGACCTGTCTCCTTTGAAGAAGTAGGTTTTGGCGACATCCTCCCACCAGACAGCTGTCTCGATACTCTGAGTGGGCATGCCGCTCCCGAACAGCGAGATGTCCTGAGGGTAGGAAGGCTGGAGAGTTGTGTCCTTGAAGACCCAGAAACGGTTTCCTAAAAATACACACACCAATTTAGGACGCTCTGGGACAAAGATATTATCATAAAGATGACCTCAAATATCGCTGTAGACGAAAAAACTGCCGGCCCCTCAGCTCATTCGAGCCTTTGGTGTATTCATTTGTATTCACATGATTTCAAATGTCAGATGTATCACATCGTCTACAAAATATGTGCAAGGCAGAAAATCTATGCGGTGGAATCTATAATACAATAAAAAGCAAGATGATGCTCTGAAGGCTACACCGCCGAGACTTGTTGTTTTCATTTTTATTGAAGCTATTGTTGCATTTAATTCATTTTGATCATAAATGCCTCAGGCAGAGTGAGGAGAGCTGCTGTGGTGGTGTTCTTGCAGTAAGTAGCTAGACATCACATACACACACATGCAGTTAAGTCCCCTTGAGTGAATAAATAAAGCATGGGGCTCTCTGATCCCGCTGGGTGACAGATGTCATGTTAATCTGCCTGATGGACGGATGGCTGCATTGGACCTGCACCCGTTCCGTTACCGTACAGAGCGCAAAACAAGCTCAAAGTCACCCGCTCAGTTGCTATATGATAAAAGATCACTATGTGTTTAAAGAGCTTGAATGCAAACCTGAACTTGTAGTGGTGGTTTTGCTCATTTTTTCGGATTAACCTGATGTATTTTGTATTGTATTCTAAAGTAAAATGAATCAGGGAATACAATTTTGACTGAATAAAATGAAAGCTGTCATGTGGAATTTTCTTGTAAACAAACAAGAGTTTTGTTCAGTATTTTCAGCACAAGGCTTTGTGTGTCTGACAAATGTCTTGAACGCATTCCCTTCCACATTGGCCAACCTAATGCTGTGTTTACAACCATGTTTGCTAGCCAGCAGTCTCCTTCTTCCTCACCTTTGTTGGTGCATTGCTACATTTCTTGGCGAGTTACCAGCAAATGCCATCAGCGAAATAGCATGAAACCAGTGGCAGAAATATGCATCATGTCGCCTGTGTGTTCTCACGTGTGGATGTGCATCATAGTGCGTTTGCAGAACAATAACAAAACGGGTACACACTCGTAAAAGCATTGCTCTGTTATAGCGCTACTAGTGGCCAAAGACACTACAGGGTATACCTTTGATGAATAACAAAAAAAAGAAAAAACATAATCCAAATATGAAATATTTACTTTAATTACCTTTGAAAAAGACAAACTTTCCTTCGCTATTTTCATACACGGCATCAATTTTGGGAGGCAAGCCTTTCCAGAAGTAGTTGATCTGCATGGGGTAGCCAGGGACTACAGAGTTGTCCCGTACCCTCCAAAACCACTGGTCCTATAGAAATGAATAAAGTAGAGTCATCATCGTCACCATTATCATCACCAGCACCCCAAACAGCTGTAAAACCTGCAGCCATGTTCTCTCAGGTGGCTGATCTACTCTACCTTGAAGACAAAAAGCTCCTGTCGGAGGATGGCCAGGGTGTTGAAGCCTCCGTCACAGATGTTGGGTTTGGAGTTGGGGTTGGAGGGCTTGGCCCCCCCCTGTGGAGGGCGATGGGGTCTGGCATGGCGGTCATGTTTACGGGGGTCTGAGGGAGGGTGGAAGCGAGGAGGAGGGACCGTTGGCGGGGGCCTGGTGGGCTGTGGCGCTCTATCTGGTGGACCTAAAGAGATGAAAGGTTTTTCTGGACCTACCCATTGAGAAATTGAATAACTTGACTGTTTTTTTGACCAATCCACCTTTAATGTTGGCACAGATGATTTGTCATTTGAGTCATGTTGCTATGCTGTTGGCTGTCCTCCTTAACAGCTGACAAATGCTGCCTACTGGCAATCAACTTAACATGACTGAATGTTGCAGCAGTATTTGTAATAAGTATTTGCAGGGCTTCAGTGTTAATAACATGTAGTAATACGGCTTCAAAAAAAGGTTGGAACAATATAATGCATATGTAACATTGTTCTTAAGATCCCTATCTAACTACTACTTTTTAAACTGCTAAAATTAACAGAAAAGGAGTTGTCTGCTCAACGTCTACATCATAAACAGAGAGATATAAAATAGAGGGTTACCATAGATTTTCTGGATGCCCTGTAGGTCATCGTGAGGTAGTTTGAAGTTCTCTGTGTCCATGTACTGGTAGAAAGGAGCCATGATAGCGGTGGGGTCGTTGGAGTGTTCCAGACCGAGGGCGTGGCCCAGCTCATGCACCGCAACCAAGAACAGGTCGTTACCTAGAGAGGGGAAGAAGGACCTTGTTAATGCAAAAACCCTCCGTCATACATGGTCCATAACAAGAGGTGGAGGAGCATGAATGTGATACTTATGTGTGCAGTGATGAAACAGAAGAAGAAAACATACACCCACGCACAGACACACTCATTAACAAGCAGTATTTGCATTTTTAATGTTTGTTTTTATTTCTTTACTTTGTTGTAAAGCCCTTTTAACAACAAATATTTACATATGAGAATTGACTTCTTTTCTCAGGTTTACGTCTTTGTAAATTGACTACCTTTGGGTTTTAGACTGTTGGTTGAACATAACTGAGCATTTTTTCTGACATTTTAAACAAACCATTAAGTACATTATTGACAAATAACCGGTTTGTTAATCAACAATGAAAATAATCATTTCTTGCAGCTCTCTGGTCCAAGCGTAACATCTATTGAGCTATAATGTCATGCAATGTAGTGCAAGTAAAGATCATTGGAGGTATATTGAAAGGGCACATAAGAGAAGATAGGCCACATGTGAGCCGCAGAGAGCAGAGAGACGCACACTCACGTTGCGGCCCAGACCCCCAGAGAACAGTGAAAAAACAAACGTTCATACAACGCACCTGAACACATATAAATGTCGGCATAGTAAACATCGTGGGTCTTGTTTTGTATCACATTCATACAGACAAATGAAAAACAAAAAACAAAAAAAATGCCACGGTCAGCGTCTATGGTCAGCATTCAGCTCGTGTCAACCTGATTTAGAGAAAAGTACACCATTTATGTACAGCTTGTGACGGAAGCTGTCCCCAGGAGATTGTTGCCCTTTAAAACATGATATCCACTCCTGCCAGCAGCGCTGCACAGACCAACCACTGACCCTCAGCCAGCAGCTAAAAGGTTACACCTCCCCCTCCCCCATTTATCTAACACATCCAGCCTCTTCCAACAAACCAAAAATGTCCCACAAAGCCTCCCAGGAGACAGGTCGGAGCTACCATTAGCGCACGTGTCAACATGCAACATTTACAATTGCACCGCCATAAAAGCCCATTAAAGGTTGCACAGATTCCCAGACACATAAAGCAGAGACAGGAGCTCTTCAGACTCAGCCCTCCACATAGAGAACTATGGGACACTGCGCAAGGGTGATCGTGAATTTGACTTGGGAGTCTGAGACAATTACCATTGGAGTATGAAAACAAAAGAGAGTGAGGGAGGGGAGCTGATGGGCGGCAAACAGTTTCCCAGAACAAAAGCAATGTGAGCTGTTACCCTCCTCCACTAATGGGAGGACAGAATGTAAGCATATGGCACATGGGTATTAGCGGAGCAGCCTGGCGCCCTGTAGGTAGGGTAATGAAAGTGTGTGTGTGGATGCTCCACTAAGAAAGGCTCTATTATCTTATCTCCCTCTATGGGATGCTGCACCCTGCCGGAATCCACATTGGCATGGGTGGCCCACCGCAGTATATTTGACAATATAATCCGTCACAACCTAACCTAACCGGATCTATCATAACCTTATCCACAATAACATAACAAAGCAAAACGTTATATAACATCACATCATAAGACACGTTGCTGTGTGGAATGCCAGCGTCAGGGATTCACATGGTGCAGTAAGAGGATTTAATGTATAGTACTGTAAATCCATTCATTTTGGTTTTTTGAGTAATATTAGTTCCACATCTGGTCATATTTTCATTTCAATGAGGATAACCAAATGTTGACCTGCTTATGCAGGTTGGGTTTATTTTGCATTTGATGATTCGTGAGGGAAAGAGGCTGTTTGTTGGGAAAATCTCCGATGAACAAAACAGACTATAGCAGAAGAGGTATGACAGAAGAAGAGCAGGGGAGCACCAGTCAAGAGGACCGATGAACTCAATAATCTACATCACATACAGACAAGCTTTGCAGTCGCACCACACTCCATTTAAAAGGGGAAAAATACACTGCTTGGGTCAATTTGTAAAGATAGTGAGTTTCCCAACTTAAAGGACATACAGGGGAACAGACCAGCGAGCTGTTATATGTGTAATGTTACTGTTAAATAAATGCTGACTATATACTCTGAATATTTTCAGGAAGTGTTCTGGTGTTTTTATTCTCTTGCTTGAAATGAACCTTGTGCTTATGCTCCGTAGTGTGCTGAGGAAGTGGTTACAATATCAAAACATGTCACGCATGCATCATTTTCACATTTTGCAATGGTACGGATAGAGAGTATATGGGGCACTTTTACGTCTTCTGTCACCTCTCCTGAAGCATACCACTGAGCTAAATTCACTAAAAACAGAATCGCCATAATCATGTGCCAGCAACCAATGTCTTAAAATAGCAGAGCACTCTATCATCTGAGGAGCTTATTATGCAGGGAAAAAAACCCATCAAAATCCTGACAGATGGGTTGATGCGTCTTTACAGAGCACAGCCCAATCAAAGACATCTCTGCGTTCTTTGTTCTTGGTTAAGCATCCTTCGTACCCTGCCCTGTGATACCACCTCTGCTACATTGCCCTACTCAGCTATCTGTATTCCCAGTTTTTGCTTTCCATCAGTCCTCATCCGTCTCTCATGATGACTGCTCTTTTTTGTTGTTGCTGTTTCTCAATGCGTCCCTCATTCCTTCCACAGCCCTTTACTTGTTTACTTACCTCTACATTGAACTATCTTTCTTTCTCTACTTTCTTTCCTTTCTTCCCCAATCCTAATATCTTCCTTTAATAATTTCCTTTCCACTCTTCTTTATTAGTGGTCCTTCGTAGCCTTTGTCTTATCTCTTACCATCGCCACTTTCTCTCTCTCTCTAGATTTAGGTTTTACCGCCTCTTTTTTCTTTCACTTACCATCGTGGTTGGGGTTCCCCAGGGTCCAGGGCTCATCCGAGTCAAAGTGTGTGTCGCCTCCGATGCCTGGGCCCGGGAAATAGGCGTGGGCTAAGAATCCCCCCTCCCCGTCGAAGGGTGAGCTGTCACCGTGAAAACCCGAAGCGAAGATGATGGTGATGTCCACGTCGCGCCTGCCAGTCTCCAGCGCGCTGTATGGAACGGCCTCGAAGCGGAGGGGAGTCACACCTTGCCAGACGTCAAACGCCCGCCGGATGGCATCGTGAGTCTCGCGGGCGCCCACCTTTGGTGTGACATTTTTTATGCTGTGGGAGGAAAGAAGGCAAACCGATTGAAAAGGCTCCAGAGAGCCACAGTAGAGGCCATGGGGCTGAGGAACGGCCCTGCAGGTTGTAGTTTACATGCTGTGTTCATAGCAGTGGAAGCGTTCACATGTTATTTTAAACCGTCAGGAACAAAACATCCAGCAGAAGTGGAAAGAAAATACACACCGCATCAACTCCCGTGCCTCGTTATCCCATTCATTTTGAGTGAACATTTTTTGACTTTTCAAAATGAGAAGACACACACACACACACACACACACACACACACACACACAAAAAAAGTTGCACTTGACACAACTACTTAAAGCCCGCCAGCTTTTACTGAACTTTTAACACAGCAGTCGTTATCAGTCCCTAGCAGGCAGAGAGGAATGGGAAATCTTCTCCCTCTCTCTCCACTCATTTTCATGAATAAAGTGCAGTCAGCAGCAGCACTGGCTCAGCACTGATTGACATTCCATTAGGAGAGGTGGCTCATCAATTCAAATTCGTGGAGGAAGGAAGGATTTGAATAAATTGACAGTGTTATCGTCTTTTTCTTCTGTAACCTGTCAATTTTCAGTTGTGCCAGAGACCCGTTTATCAGTTCTCCTCAGAACCCATTAAAAACTGGAGCTTAATCGGGCGAGATAGAATGAGAGTTTGAATATTTCTTCTGAGATTACGGACAATTCACACTCAGGATTTTTCAAACAATTGTATACGAAGGAGAGGAAAGCCTTCAATCTTCATGCTACTCAGCTAAAAGTGTTTGTTTTGTCTTAGAAAAACAGTAAATGGAGGATTAAGAAGAAAAAACAAATAGCAAGCTATTTATAATCTGGAAAGTAAACATACTCACAGCACACATGGGCACATTTATGTGTGAATCTGTGATGTGTGTGTGTGTGTGTGTGTGTGTGTGTGTGTGTGAGACGTATATGAGCGGTCTCTATGACAACACGGAGCATGTGATCCCAGATGGTTAAAGAGGAGGAGCTGAGAGACGGAGGAGAGCTGAGAAAATGAACACATCTGAAACCCACAATGAGCGCTGCCAAGCTCAATGGTCGCTATGACAACTGCCTCCACTATATCTCACCTGTAGGTGATGTGCGTACGCTGCCACTTCTGTCCCGTCAACGCATATCGCCGCTTCCGTGACCTCCCGGCACTTTTGAATTTGTCCGGAACGCCACAGCGAGGCTTTTGCATCCAACTTAAAGAAGAGGAGAGAGGAGAGGAGGCGACTCAATAAAGGTGGCGAGGCAAAAACGCCATCAAAAAGGCCGAATACAGCACTGAAGTGAACTCAGCAGTTCTCTTCCTGATGTAATCACGGCAGCAAAATAAGGAAGTGTTGTGCAAAAATACCACTAGAACTACTCCAAACTACAGTCATCGTTTCAAGTGGAGGGTTAAATTCTCAATGGGGGCTGAGAGGAAGTTTCATGTTTTCTCATTCATACCACATCAGATTATCACAAGTACAGAACACACACACACACAGTAATGCATAGGCGGAACATTAATTCTCACCTCAGCGTGATATCACTGCATCATCATGCAAAATGAGAAGAAGGAAAAGTGTTAAAACCTTCACCTGAGGTTGTTTCAGACGAGGTGATGGGGGGTGAAATGAAAATCTCTATTTCTGTCCTTCACTAGTTCATTGAAATATTGATAGCCATTCCTTCTGCATTTTTAAATGAATGAGGGGAGCATTTGCATTAATGTCACATCAATGGCCTGGTGAAAGTACATCGCAGCTTGTGCTTGACACGTTAGCATGTGTGCATACTCACTCCTCGGTTCTCTCATCCAGTGTCCCTGTGACATTGAGACCATAGATGCGCTGCATGGCGGCGATGGCTGAGTGCATGGTGTGGGCTGAGCGCAGGACAGACATTCCCGGTTCTGTGTGGGGAAGGTAGCCATACTTCTGTAGCCATCCCTGCGAGAGGACGGAAGAGGGAGAAGGATTTGGGCCTTCAGTTCTTGGCTATTTTAAGACTTTCTTTAGCCTCTATTAGAAAACTCAGAGTAGATGGGAAGGCCGGAGGAAAAACATGGTGATGGAGCAGGAGATGTGCAAAAAGACGCACAGAAAAAGTTGCACTTTGCAGGTTTGTGCGGATAATTGATGCGTTAATCATCTACTACAATGTACATGTATCAACCCGAGCTGTAAAATGTGAAAGTCTTCCCTTTTGCTGCAGCGTTCAACTTGAATCACCTTCATTTTGTGTTTGATTACATTTGGTTCCACGTGTCCAATATATTTTCTTTTCAACAAAATTTCACTGAGGGACGCTAACGAATACAAACACAGACCGCGGATATTCCTCCATCGCAGTGGTTAGAGTACTGTGCTCAAAGGCACCAAAACAGTAGCTGTTTAATGAGGGCAAAGTATTATTTGTTTAGTTACCCTACCCAGTTTTTGCAAGTAAGTGGCCAATCCCATAATAAAAACCAACAAGAATATGGCTACGGGTCGTTCATTCTGCATCCCACAAACAATGCATTGAGGTGACTAACCATTGCTACAGTATATATATATATATATATATATATATATATATATATTTATTATTTTATTATTGGAAGAGAACATGGTTATTTCTATATTTAACGTCACAGAAGCATTCATGAAAACTTCATAGATTTAACATGTAAATAGTCTTGTGTTTGCAGAAACTGTCTCTCCAGCAGTGGTTCAGGTGTGTGTGGATATTTGTCCCTGGACATCAGTGCAACTGTTTGCATTTGAATCCCTTCTAGTGACCTTAGTCAGTGTTTGTGTCTTGCGGCTGCCGGTCAGCCTACATGTGCAGGACTGTGGCCCTGCCTCCTCTTGCCCTACAAAGCGAGAGTGCGGCTTGATACAGAGGAGGGATGCGAAGGCCGTGTATCATCCAGAGGGGTGGGGGCGGTTCACTGCCAGACTCAATCTGAGAGGTCGAGAGATGCCCACGCTATCCACAGCTGTCCACACGCCAACCAGCTGCCTCCCCATCACTACACAGCCTATGAGATATGTTCCAGCCAGCTAATCTGACTAGCTGTCCTTGTCCACCCCCCCCCCTGCTGCCTCTATCCTTCTTTCTGCTGAGCTAAACGCCTTGTTTATCCTTTTTCTGTCTCTTCTTTTTCCTCCCCTCTCTCCTGTGGGCGTGTTTCCTGTGTGTGTGTGTGTGTGTGTGTGTGTTGTGTTTGTTAAAAGGCACAGATCTCAGAGAGATATCAGGCAGATTTCAGTGAGCCATAACATTGAATAACGATGTGTTTGTGTGGCTGGCAGCCTCAGCGTTTCATTTCTACAGAGAGGTGGGAGGGGAGCCTGAGGTGAGGATGAAAATGACATCAATTAATAAGGTACAAAAAAAGAAAAAAGCAGCAAATCCTACTATGCAGCTTGTGTCTGTAAATATTTAATCTCCTCCAACACCGTGATGATGCCAAGGCATGTCTGACTTTATGTTGGCCTGCCACAGAAGCATATCGATGAAAGCAGTATGCTTCACAGCTCTGTAAAAATAAACCACTCCATATATCTGGGTTGCACATTTAGGATCAGCGGGCTGGATGAGCTCGTGGACCGCAGAGCAATAAAATGAGCATCCTTCTGTTTCATGGCACTCTGCAAATGAGGAATGCGAGATATATATTTTTTTTACCCTTCAGCGCGTGAGCTGTGCTGATATGCTTCCAATGTGCCCATGTTATCCGTTATGGTAATTGAGCCCACGGACACATATATACATCCCATGGATGCTTTTTTTTCACGCCGAGGCGGATGATGTAGGAGGAGAGGAGCGCGGTCATTTGTGATAAGCAGGCAGAGGAAGGCCGTTTATCTTACCTCAACGCTGAAGTGATGATCCTCCTCTCCGGACACAGCGCACGAAATCCAAAGCAACAAATGCAAGCAGAATGCTGCCGCGTAAAAGCAATCCGATGGTTTTCTTGTACTGGAGGATACTAAGGTCATAATGACCTGTTTTTCCCGAGTGTTTATTAGAAGAAGCCGCCCGTCTGCTTTGGCTCTTGGTGTCAAATGAAAATCATCAGGCAGAGCTGTTCAAAGGCAGGTTCGGATGAAAAAAAACGAGAAGGAAAAAGGCCCCCGTGTTTTATAAGATCCCGATGGTGGCGTAAAATGTTCCGATGTCAAGCAGAGATAACGCGGCACGTTAGACCCGCTGCCCTCGCCATTCTTATTTACATCAGGGACTACATCTATCCAGCAGCATCAATGGCCATGTACAGTACCCAGTCTGCGCAAGATAGGCTCCCTCCCGACTCGACGCCTGCGCTTTGATTTCTGTCACACAGCGCAGCGCCGCTTGGCAGCATCATGAGAGCTGCCCCTGCACACTGCACGAGAGATGAAATGCCTTTCCTCAGAACTGCCTGCACGATTGACTTTTACATTGTCTCCATACAGTTTGAAGCACACGTGCAGGCGGAAGCTGTGATTTTAAATTACTGATATTAAACAAAGGCTCAGATCCAGATTATGGACTGATGGACATTCCTTTGTTGATGCCTTTATACACAATAGAGCCAAATCATCTCTATGTGCACTGACAAAACTGCGTGATATTCCTATAATAAACTAAATATAGCATGCACCTTGCAAATAATTGACAAATTAATCATCTTATCATTGTCATCATTAGCTTGTTTATAGTAAGACAAGGAGACAAAAGCTGGCCATCAGTGTATTCACACTCTCTCATCTTAAACTATCTGTCCCACAGTTTACCCCCTGTGTTGGTCTCTGGCCTGAGGACACAGAACAAACGACCTGACAGAATCCCAAGACATTTATAGCTCCTGCAGCTCTGTAGTGCTGAAATGCTACAACAAGCTGCCCCAAGCAAAGCGAGCCACAAGATGGCGGTGTTTCACAGAGGAATGAGGCCGTCAGCTGTTTTGCTTGCAAACCTCAGAGGGCACATGGACACACTGGGACCTGAATCCGCCCCACGCGATCTAATGAGCCGGGAAATAGATCTGACATTGATTTGAGGTGACAGGCAGAAAGGGCATACTGGAAAAAGGAGTGACGGAAGAGCTCACGACAGAATCCTCGTCACACTTTATAATACAATACCTTCCTTTTAAAGAAGAAGCCAGCAGCTCTGGAAAGAGTGTGGCTACCTGCAGAGGAATCTACATTTTAACTGATTACATCCAGTATCTCTTTCCATCAATCAACTTGTACAAGAGAGAGTTGGGATGAATATCATCCAAGCTGACACATTTGTGACTTGGCAGTTTTTCCTGCGAGGTCCCGCGGTCCAATGCAAGCCAGTCTGCTATAACGGACATCTTTTTCATCCCTTTTATTCACACTTGTGGATGACTCAGAGATTCCTGTAGTTAAGGACACTTTCTCACCACCGAATTGAATGGATTTGAAGGACTGCGCAACCACTTACCGGAAAGATTCATGGCACCATGCTGTGGGAATGCAGACCCTCTGTGCCACAGTCAGCACCAAACCACTTCAGTGCATTCTGGTCGTCAAAGTTCAGAGATTAAACTCTGCTGACCCTGACGCTGGATTGTTATCCTGTCCAACAACATCATAAGAAACACACATAACACACGTTTTCTCAAGATGAGCAGCGGCCTTATAGGTTGCAGCACCTTCAGGACACCTGAATGAGAATCTGAATCGGCCCCTTTAAAGAAAGGGTCAGTCAACTCTGACAACAACGCAGTCATAAAGAGTGTATCTAATAACAATTGTTATGATTTACAGTTAAATTTCCCCCATTTTGTTCGATCTGATTAAAAGTTTCACTGCACTTGATTTCTCTCTTCTGTTTTATGTAAAGCACTTAATGATTTTAAAGGGCTTTATAGATAAACTCCACCACTATTGTTATTATACGCAGGCATGCACACTGCATTACAATTGCTGAATTAGCTTTGAAACCTGAACACACAACATTCCGAAAAATCATTGACATTACTCATAACTGAACAAGGTGTTCCATGTCACGGAACAGGTTGCGACTGGTTGAGAAGTTGAGAAAGGGATTCCTATTGGATTAAAACAGGTTCATTCATTTACTTTGAGGTGTTTACTGTGTAACCCAGTGGGCTGCTATGGAGACCACATGCTCTGGCAAGTGAAGATGGCTCCGGGCCAAAGGCCGGGGGCCTCTTCAGGAAACGGTAAAACAGAGCAATAAGATATGCACATGTTTGATCGTTGTTCATGGCAAGAGCAAACAACGTGTGTGTGTGTGTGTGTGTGTGTGTGTGTGTGTGTGTGTACTCATTATCACAATACAACAATACATTCATACACTGAAATATTTGCCTTTTTCTATTGAAGTTTAACTGAAGCAGAGTTTGCTTTAGGGTGGGGGGGCAGATGGTGAGATACAAGGTAATCTCACTGGCTTCTCTAATTAAACCTAATTAATTGGTACTTGACAGTTTGTTCTGATCGCCGGAGGCTTTTCAGCCGTATAGCAGGATTTAGAAAGCTATTATTATGGCTTTTATGGAGTCAGTCGCATCGACTCCACGTCTTACTTCACATGTCAGAGATATGGCAGCCATGACAAGTGACTAAAATGGTGCACAGATTAAGGACTCCTGAAATGAATCTATTAAGATTCTAAGCATTATTTGATGATGTTTGGAAGCATCATCACTAATCATAACCTACAATTTAGTGGGTCTGCACAAAGGTGTTGTCATTTTTCTAGGATTTCTACTATTTGTTCATCTGGGCAGTAATTATTCTCAGATGAAATGTATAACAAAATAACAATAGTGAATTTGAAGTTGTTCGGATGAGTTTCCATACAGAGAGTTAGTTATATGCTGATGTTTTTTCTCTTGTGCGTTCTCCTTTTCTTTTGTTCAGTCTGGGCTGTGAAGCGCTTTTGATCAACGCTGTTGTGTGTGAAGAGCTATATAAATAGTGTTGAGTTCAGGTAGCGAGACAACACATTCAGTAAAAGAAAAAGACATTCATGGACTTAAGCTCCCAAAACCTTCTCTTTATTTTGGCACAATATGTATTATTGTGCTGTAACATTATCCAAGCCCTTATGCTCATGGCTGATATTCATCTCGGATACCTCATCATTATTCTATGAAACACTAGCTAGTGTGATGTCTGTTTGGGTGGACGCAGCAGATGTTGCGGCGTTGAGTGACAGTGAATCCTATATATGATCCCATATGTTGTGCTCTTGTATCCTGCATCTCTCTACGATGTAAACGGTCCTGTTGTTAGTGGGGGTTGTTACTTCCTCCGTGCATGTTTTATTTTTCTTAAATCAATTGACTGAGATGTTTGCTGGTCCATCTGGGCCCTGTCATGCAGATCAGGCTTCAAACCTTCAGGACATTGAGTCGTCTCCCTTCGCAATACAGTCACATAACCTTTCTGCCTCACTGAACCACTTAATAAAGACTCCTCGTGTAAAAATCATCCTCTTAGAAGTCTTGTTGGCTTTGACTGTACCTGAAAGAGCTCATATATGAGCAGCATTAGTTAACACATACTGCTAATACAAAATGTCCCTTTAGGTACTGAACACCAGTACTTCTTGGACAAAAGAGATGGAAAATGTGAGAATATTATTGCACAGTGGGGTATGTATTTACTTTGCCAGTAGCTGTCATCTCTCCTCTCGCTCTCTCACACACTTTTTTCCTCTCCCTCTCCTTTTTGTACAGTCTCTTTTGAATCCCCAGCGGTCTGGCCATTATTCTGTGTTTGTTTAATGTTGCTTGGTTGACAGACAGCTCTGGTGTGAGGCTCTGGATGGATGATGATGTGAAACGCTGTATACGCAGGGACATCTTTCTTTCTTACAGTGGAACATTTTATGATTGAGATGTTGATCGGCGGTGTAGAAATCGGCCGCTGGTGAGAAGCCAAGGTGATTTCTTGACGTTTATTTCTTTAAACGAGCCTCCATTGTGGCGAACCGTGGTTCCAAAACATTTAAAACCAACCGCTGAGTTATGTTCAAATGTACGACAAATATGACTCTGAAGAGAAGCAAAAATTCGATTTTCTCTCAAAGTAAACCTTCGATATTTGAACTCTTCTGATCCTCTAAATGAGACTTGGACTAATATAATATGTAGTCACATTGTCGGTTGCTGCTTCTAAACACTGCATTCAAACTTTCGCCCCTCCTCTCCGGGTCAGCGAGTATAAGCGAGAAAGGGAGAGAGAACTAGGGAGTGAATGAAGCAAGGGAGTGAAGGAAGAGCCTTTACGCCCAGAAAAGTCCCGAACACAGCACAATAACAAAAAAAGAGAAGATACAGGCAGAGGGCAGGGTCTCTGCAGATACAGACATTAAGAGGGATTGTTTTTGTATCAGTCTATACATATTTTTTTGTTGCATATTATACCTTCAGGTGTGACACCCTGTGAAGGGAATAACTCTTTCACTCAGTGGAGCTTGCTATCTTCCCGCTGACTAACCGAAAAATGACAAAGGCCATGGATTTATTTCCCAATGACAGTGCTGAGAACGGTCGTCACATCCACAGCACACTGAAAATTGCGTACTCTGCCATCTCCTGTGAAACCTTAGCCTCACATTATGTAATTTCTCCTCTAGGAAAATGGTCATAATGTCACCCAACACAATAACCTCTTCCTCCAACAGCACAACCAAAGACGATTTGGTGAGCCATTAGGCCGCCATAATGAAATAAAGACCAGCGTGATAAATGATTTCTATCACTCCTGCCCCCATAGAGTCTGATCTGTGTACAACAACAAACACATTCAAGCAGCTTGACACGCAGTTAGACTCGACTCCGATCAGACGGACAATCTGTCAACAGTCTAGACATTTCGTCCATTCAACCCCTGCGGGACACTGATACCGAGGGCTTTCTCTCATACATGCATCAACAAATTAATTAATAAATAAGGGTGAACGGGTGATTTTAGGATGCAAAAACTTACTGATGAGCTTTTCTGTTACGGGCCAAATTCAATGAAACCTCTAGAAGTGAGCTTTGACCCAGATGAGTCATCATTGTCCTTTTCTTTAACTTTTGGTGTTCAGCTAAAATAGCTCCGGGGACACACATCAGATTTTGTGTGTGTGGGGCAAAAAATCAAACAAAAAGTAGATATTTGTTTGTAAAAATGACCCGGTAGTTACATCTCTAAGTCTCAGTGTCAGACATCAGTGTCATTCGTAAAGCTTCATCTCATATATTTGTGGTGATCTCAGCTCTTTGTGTTGTCTCTTGTGCATAGACCCGCCCAGTCTTCACAGAGCATTACTGTCTGAGTAACATCAAATAAGCTTCTTTTTTTTTTTTTTACTGCAGATATTGCAACATGACATAGCAAGAAAAGCAGAGATGGAATTACTAATAAAATAAAAAGGAATCCACTCCATTTGTGTGCTCCAAGGTCCTGATGTTGTGCATGCTCACTTAGTGGCTTCATGACTTACTGGGGCACTTAATGAAACTGAGCCTTCGTAAATTCTATTAGTTAAACTTCTGCTTTTCCTGCAATGAGAAGTCAAAATGTCTGCTGCCAAAAAGGCCTTTTGTGCTGGAAATTACTCATGATTTGCATTTTTGTACATATGCTAAAGGTGTGATGTCAAATCATAAGCCCAACCAGAAAGACTATTATATTATCTAGCTTCTGCCAGGTGTGTTCAACTGGGAATTAGTTACGGTTTCAAGGTAAGATGAGACTTTCAACTACAAGTTCCTCATTACTGCATAGCTTTAACCACACGTATGTTTCGGGTTCACAAGCAAGAATAAATTGCAGAACAAAAAATGCCAAATGTGTTTGATGTAATAGACAGTCTCTCCATATGTGGTTTGTCAATGGACAAAATCAGATTTTTCGTTTTAACTCGCTAGGTACTTATCTTGGTCATAATTTAAGAATTGAATGACCAAATTTAAGGGATCCTTTGTGTTTATTTAAATCTACAAAATATCAGTTGATACATCAGATTTTTAAACTCTCAAATATCAGAGTCGGCCTCAAACATCCACAGCCAGTTCCTAAAGGGACTCTGGTTTTCGGAAACACTACAACCTTCGTCCACAGGGGTCGCCAAAATCAACACAAAATGAAGTTCCTTATAGTAGCTTTAATTATGAATTTAAGTGCAAAATAATCCGAGTGACCATCTTTGAGAAACTTGAGTTTTGTATGTGGTTGATATTATAGATTACGTCATTTTGCATTACGGGATCTCGATGTATGGTTTCATCACATTATGATTCCATCGAAATACGATAAATGATTATCAGTTGATGACTCACTGACTGAACTGAATGTCAACACATATAATCACTGTACCTGTGTTGATACAAGGTATGTGTACTTTTCCATACTGCAAAACATTTCCCAAAAATAGTGTTGCTTCATCGCAGAGTACACGCTTCTTTCTTAAAATACAAAAGAAGCCTCCAGTCTGCCTCACGTTACCTGAGCAGTCTGAGAGGCGCATCTGTCCTCCCTCTTGCTGACGTCAGAGCAGCCAGTAGTCTGTACTCGCTGCACGAGCTCGGACTGCTTGAGATATCCGCGAGGAGGAGGAGCTGTCAAAGTTTGAGTTTCCCAGAGAAGTAAAAAAGTCTTTTACTTAACGAGAAAAAAAAAAGAAAAAAGATTTTGGAGTTTTGAACAAGCGGAATATCGCGTGTTGTTGGTATGGAATGACACCTTCTCACCGGGATTCCTGACGAAAAACACGATGGCAACTGGTTTCGTGAAGTGGTTCAGTCTCACCTCTCTGCTGTGCCTGGGCTGCTGTGTTCTGGCGGAAAGGAAAGGTATGTCCGCCGAGCTGCAACAACATGAACGTGACTGGGTTGTAATACCCAGCAGCAGGCTTTTGCTTTTCCTCTCTGCTTCTCCGGCATTGCCATTAATACATCTCGCAGAAATCACAGACCGCTCAAAAAGCCGCTAGGAAACTTGATCCGGCGTGGGAGAGTGGGAGAAGTTTCTGACCGTCTCGCTGTGTTCAGTCTGTGACCTGCTAAAAGTTACACAGAGGCGCTCGAACCAAGTTTAGCGTTCAGTTCAGATAGTTATTGATAAGCATTACAGGCGCGTATGTGTGTGTTTTTTTCCCGGGAAGTTGTGATTAATTGGCCAATTTTAAAAGTGCGAGAATACGCATCTCTGCTGAAATGACGACGACCCAAGTGCGCAAATTGGCACCAAATTGACGATGATGATGCTGGGAGGGGATGTAGATTGAGCAATTTAGTGGCGCACTTTATTTTCTAGTCCCCCTCTTTTCTACTTGTTATTATATAATACTTTTATCTTTTTTTGTGAGCAGTGTGAGCTTTTGTCTTTATGCAGCGTTTGACCTAATTGTGGGCAAAAATAGAACAAATAGAGCGATGCTGTCACCTTGAAACACACTAAGAGCTCTTTGATGCATCCACTAACCAATTTCTCATATACAAAAACCTTGTCATATTTTCTCATTTGCTTTTCCCTCTGAGAGCATCCTCTTACATAATAAAAAAAAAAAAATGGTACATGTGCCCGGTTTGCATCTGGTCCTCACAGGTAATTAGATGAAAATGTGAAGACACTTCATCCTACTTGCATGATTGATTTAAAACAAAGAGAGTCTGGAAAGTGTGGTATGGAGGGAGACTGATGAAGGTATGAAAACAAGTGCTGAAGCAGCAGGAACATGTTTCTTGGTTTCTCTTGCTCTGCTTTGTGGTTGTGCTTCCTTTTGGCCCTGAAGTAAAGGTCACAGAAATCTTATTTCTTTTAAGGACATGGCAGTGTTTTGACTGCGGCCTCAATGCTTTCTTGCTGTTTTGTCTTTTTCTTTCAAGAAAAGAACACCTCTCTACAGGCCGAGGCGATATTTGGCTGGAAAATAAGCACGGAAAGGCTGCTACATCTCAATGTTATAGTGCGAGATAAAAAAAATATTTGAATCTATATTCCACATGTAGTTCGAGTGACTCGGAGCTCATAAAGGCCAGATGTCGGGTTAGAAAGTGACCAGAAGTATCACTTTACTCTCTAGTGGTTGTAACTTCCTACTCTCATGAATCATCATTGTCCACACTCATTGTGCTGTTGTTCCTCCTTATAAGCAGATAAGCGCGGAGTGTTTGGTGTCAGCAGTGCATGTGCAGGTTGCATCTTTCCCCTTCTGCTCCAGCAAGTAACAACCAGTGCCGCTTTCAAGAGAACCATAACAAATCAAAAGTGTTTGTGAGCCAAAAAGACAAGAGTCCCTAAATATTTCCGGGCATCTAAACAAACTCGACTTTCACGCTGCATCAAGCCTCCCTCAGTAAATAAGGATTTTAGAAATGAACAGCTGTAATGATGGTATGCAGTCAAATTTGGTTTAATTACTGTTTATTTCCATTTGCAGGGAAAGTACGAGCTCCGGCATATGGTCTGACAGTTTTAGCTGTTGTTGTTGTTTTTGTTTTTGGCCAGAGGCTAAGACAGATGTTTCTATGTGGCAAACAATGTTTTCCTAGAACGCAGTGTCCATAACAGTTAAAACTTCATTTGAACAATATGTCAAACTCCAAACTGAAGCTGCAAAGATAACCAATTATTGGATATGCGGGTTGTTTTGTACTTTGATAAACACAAGTAACACACATTTTTGTTATTGATTAAATTATAGTAGCTGGAGGGTGCAACAATGCGTTCATGGGGTTGTGCCATCCAGTTTGCAGTTGGCTTATCCATTAACTCAAAATAAAACTCGTTAATAAGCCACACAACATATTGCAGCCACACAACATGTTGCTGAGACAGTCTATGATCCATGGAAGGATTTTCAGTTGTCAGCGTCGTTACAAATGAGTTTCTGATTTCATTTTGCCTCTCTATTGGATGTTGATGTTCCTGGTGGGCTGATCATGTATAAACAAAACTATAATTATAAGTGAATGAAGACTGGGTTTGGAAAATATTGCGGTAATAAACATTGGACAACTTTTCTTTTGAAAATCTGAGGTGTTGTTGTTCTGTCTGGCAGAATGATAAAGGATTACTGATACTGACTGAACCTTTCTGCGTGTGGCGGTTGCAAATCCACCTAAATTAATACGTGTAAACATGATTTCTTCCTTAAAATGTGAAGTAATTAAAATGGTACAGTACTTGAGCTGCTGTAATATAACATCGACCTTACAGGGGAAACAAAGTATCTTCAAAATATCAAATCAAACAGAAAGAAAAACAGTCTTGTTCTAAGCTGAGTGGCAATGCATTTCTGAGATAATCCAAACAGGGTTGAAAGGTTTTGTAAGCCTTAAGAAGGAGAATAATTTCCTCAGCCCCACAAAGGAGCATGTAATCATTCGACTTGTTCTAAAATCACCAAAACAGGAGATACATGGTTTTCAGGGAAGGACGGCTGTTCTGATCTATATTAGTGTCTATCCGCTGTTTACACTGAGAAGTGGCAAAACATTTTCTAGTTGAGAAAAACATCAAATTGATGGAGATCATGAGTAAGAAACAAATCATATTGTTCTGTGTTTTGGGTGCGATCTTGCGGTTTTCGAGTGGTAAATCTGTCGCAGTTATCCTTGTCAGCATGTGCGCTGTGTGAGTGTGGACAACTTGACAGGTGTATTAAGAGTCATAAGGGGGAACGTTTTTAGAGTCATTTATAACCGTTAAAAGTATCAAAATCAGCTGAGACCAGTGTTTTGTTTTGCCAATCAAAGATGAATGACCAAAGGTATGGAGTTATGATTATCAACAGATTCTTTCCCACATGGTCGTTTAGCCCAGCCCTAGCTGCAGTCCTGTTCTGGGAGGACATTAAGGCGGTTTGGAAATAAATGTGAGATTTTTCTAATGCACCTGACAGCGAGCAGCCCGTCCCACAGGAAGTCACCTGACAGTCCTCCGCTCGGCGACAGCCTGCCAGGGCGTGATGGCTTCTGTGGGAGTCAGACAGGACCTGCTGAATAATAGAAAAGCTCCTGGTCCCACGCGCTGGCATGCTCAGTTTATTAACTGTCATCATCTGTGGGGAGGTTGTAAATAATGCCCACAGCTTCACCTGGCAGCCAGCCACAAGTAATAACCGTGGTGATTTATTTCCCAGATGAAATGCTAAATGGTTTTCGGAATCAATTGGACTCCCTCTGTTTGTGACTGCAGTTGTACTGAAGAGCAGGGGTTTCAGAAAATATCGGGAATATTGAACCTTGTGGTATTATACTTTGTGATACTGCAGGGATTCTCAAAAACACGTTGATTTTTAATTAATAGTTTACGTGTAAAGATTAACTAAATTAATACTTTATTTTGTTTGTCCTCAAAGTAGTGCTATGATGTTGGAAATGCAGAACCCACTGTTCATATTGCATTAAATAGTAAACTTTTTTTACTCACGTTTTATGCGTATGGTGGTGTGTTCTTAATACTATTACAGTTTTCCTAAAATTGCAATGTATCACAATATATTGCATACGTATCGTATTGCCAGATTCTGGCCGATACACACCTCTACTGATGTGATGATTACATTTTTTTTTTATTACACGCTTCAATATTTCTTCTACCCTTCAATGTTGAATGTTGTTTTCAAAGCGGCCAAAGTACGGCCACAGATATGAGGTGAACTGAGAGCCTCTCTAACTGGGTTAACCTGTGAAAGATCAAACTAATCTCATGGGCATGTCAACAGCTAAACCCATAATCCTTGATGCGAGGCTCCCCGGCTGTCTTTAGGCACAGGGTAAACAGCTTAAATATCAATATGCTTTTTCCAAGAGTTAATGGGTTGTTCAAGTTCTGGACACAGAATGAGATTGGAAGATAATAAATATGTATGTATGTATGTATGTATGTGTGTATATATATATATATATATATAGATGTGTGAAAAAGTGTTTGCCCCCTTCCTGATTTCTTATTTTTTTGCATGTTTGTCACACTTAAATGTTTCAGATCATCAAACAAATTTAAATATTAGACAAAGATAACACAAGTAAACACAAAATGCAGTTTTTAAATGAAGGTTTTTATTATTAAGGGGGAAAAAAATCCAAACCTACATGGCTCTGTGTGAAAAAGTGATTGCCCCCTAAACCTAATAACTGGTTGGGCCACCCTTAGCAGCAACAACTGCAATCAAGCGTTTGCGATAACTGGCAATGAGTCTTTTACAGCGCTGTAGAGGAATTTTGGCCCACTCATCTTTGCAGAATTGTTGTAATTCAGCCACATTGGAGGGTTTTTGAGCATGAACCGCCTTTTTAAGGTCATGCCACAGCATCTCAATCGGATTCAGGTCGGGACTTTGACTAGGCCACTCCAAAGTCTTCATTTTGTTTTTCTTAAGCCATTCAGAGGTGGACTTGCTGGTGTGTTTTGGATCATTGTCCTGCTGCAGAACCCAAGTGCGCTTCAGCTTGA